AAAATCACCAGTTTGCCCTCTAGCCACAAATTATTTACACTTCTTCCTCCCCAGAGCTATCAAAAAAAGTTTCCTTCTTCTGTAGCATCAGCTTGAAATACAGGTAGCTGTCCTTTAACTAGGTCCAAGTGTGGGTGTGGCTTCTTGGGTATGGTTCCTCAGGTACAGTTCCTTTTGATATGAAGACCTGTAAACTAAAGAGACAAGTAATCTACCTATCACACACCCAACATGCAGTGATGTGGACAGGCAGTGATTCTGAACAGGTATAAAGATTTCCTGTTCCAAAAAGGAAAAATGGCGGCACAAAGAAATTGCTGGTTCATAGCAATTCTGATAGTTGTCTAGACAAATGTCAGAAATTCCTTGACTAGGACTTCTGTTTCTGCCCAGGAGTTCTTCTCTGTGACTCTGGAGTCCACCTTGTTAGTCATCCTTTCTTTTCCATTAAAAGTAGTTCATATTTGTAGCTGCATAGCTTTCTTAGCATGCTTCTTGCTGGTAGAAATTTGAGGGCCCAGAGACCTGTTTTCATTTTGTACTATCTTTCCACCTTTCAGTTTAAGCTGTCAGTGCTTCTTTTTAAAACTTTGATATCCTGTGAATCTCACTGGGATTCATGCAATTAGGCAAAAGCCACGTCCACCAATCTCTTCTAATTAGACTTTTCCCACCTTGGGTTTCTGCTGGGATTGCTGAGGGATACCACTTGTAGTGGGTAGAATTGTGTCCCCCAGAAAGCTGTATTCAAGTCCTAACCCTGATAAGGTCACTGTGAATATGACCTTATTTGGAAATAAGGTCTTTACAGATGTAGTCAAGTTATAAGAAGATCACACTGGATCAGGAAGGGCCTTAATCCAACGGTTGATAGTCTTATAAGGAGAGAAATTGGCTGGGTGCGACGGCTTACTCCTGTAATCTCAGCACTTTGGAAGGCTGAGGTGGGAGGATCACCTGAGGTCAGGAGTTCGAGACCAGCCTGGCCAATGTGGTAAAACCCCATGTCTACTAAAAATACAAAAATTAGCCAGGCGTGGTGGCTCATGCCTATAATCCCAGCTACTCAGGAGGCTGAGGCATGAGAATCGCTTAAACCTTGAGGCAGAGGTTGCAGTGAGCCAAGATCGCACCTACTGCACTACGGCCTGGGCGAGAGTGAGACTCTGCCTCAAAAAAAAAAAAAAGAGGAAGCTAGAAATTTGGACATGAACACAGAAGACAAAGAGAAGAAAGCCGTGTGATGACAGTGGCAGAGACTGGGGGGACGTAACGTCTACAAATCAAGGAATGGCAAAGATTGCTGCCAACCATCACCAGAAGCCGGGAAAGAGTCATGGAAATAATCTCCCTCAGAACTTTCTGAAAGAACTAACCCTACTGACACCCTCCAAATCAGTGAGCGAATAAATTCCTTTTGTTTTAAGCTACCCAGTTTGTGGTAGTTTGTTATAGCAGTAACACCCTTAAACTTCTTAGTCCAATTTTCTAACTGAGTGATTCTTTAGGTACTATTTTAGATCTTTCTGAGGTTGTGGTGTTTTTTTTGTTTTTTGTTTTTTTTTTTTGAGGCAGAGTTGCACTCTGTCACCGAGACTGGAGTGCAGTGGTACAATCTCAGCCCACTGCAACGTCTAACTCCGGGTTCAAGTGATTCTCATGTTTCGGCCTCCCGAGTAGCTGGCATTAGAGGTGTGCGCCACCATGCCCAGCTAATTTTTGTATTTTTAGTAGAGACGGGTTTCTTCATGTTGGCCAGGCTGGTCTCAAATTCCTGGCCTCAAGTGATCCTCCTGCCTTGACCTCCCAAAGTGCTGGGATTGTAGGTGTGAGCCACTGCGCCCGGCCCTTTCTGAGGTCTTAACAAAGATTTGTTATAGTCTGATCCTTGGCTTCATCTGAAATCAGTCTTTTGGCAGTGCCTTGGATTTAATCTTTGCTTGAAATCCATTTCTTAATTTTAGTATCATTTACTAATCTGGAGATGCTGGGAATTCTCAGAATTATATAATTCTGTCCTTTTTGTTTAACTGTCTGTCCTTCCTTTAATTTATCCCTCTTTTGCATTTTAAAGTAAGCAACAAGAAGCCAGGAGGTACTTTCAAAAGTGGAAATCTCTTTAGCTAGATTATCAACCAGTTTGTGGACTGCAACGTCTGCTTTCCATGTTATGGTAAGGCAACAGCTTTGCCAGTATATAACAAGAATCTTTTTCCCTCCAGTTTCTAATAAGATTTTTCTACCTTTTCTTAATCTCACCTTTAACTTCCTCAAAGGCCATAGTGCTGCTTTTTTTTTTCAAGGCTCTTCAAACTTTACTGATGCTCTCATCAAAGTCCTTTTAACTTCTGCCCCACTGCTGGGTTCCAAAGGTACTCTCACATTTTAGGTCTTTATTATGGTGGCACGTGTATCCAGATATCAAAATCTGTATGTTACCTATTGCCGTATAACAAATTATCTCAGAGTTTAGTGGCTTAAAACAAGCAAGTATTTATTATCTCACAGATTCACTGGGTCAGGAACAGGTTCAGTTGGGAGTAGTGTTGCTGAGTGATGCTGGCCCAGGATTTCATGAGCTTACAGTCAAGATGTTGGCCACTGCTGCAGTATAGGGGTGACTAGGCTTTACACATATTCTGGCAGGTTTGTTCTGACTGGTGGCAGGAGTGCTCAGTTCCTCATCACATGGACCTTTCTATAGGACTGCTTGATATGGCACTCTCCCAGAGCAAGTGATTGATCCAACAGAGGTACAAGGAGAAAGCACTATGCGCCCCGCCCGCCCCACCACCTTTTTTTCTTGAGGCAAAGTCTCACTCTGTCACCCATGCTGGAGTGCAATGGCATGATCTTGGCTCACTGCAACCTCCGCCTCCCGGGTTCAAGTGATTCTCCTGCCTCATCCTCCTGAGTAGCTGAGACTATAGGCATGTGCCGCCATGCCTCGCTAATTTTTGTATTTTTAGTAGAGATGGAGTCATGTTGGCCAGGCTGGTCTCGAACTCCTGACCACAAGTGATCCACCCACCTCGAAGTGCTGGGATTACAGGCATGAGCCACCACACCTGGCCATTTCTCCTGCTTTGTTACCTTGTCTTGGAAGTCACAGGTGATCAGTTCTGCCATATTCTATTGTTAAGTGAGTCACTAAGTCAAGCCCACACTGAAGGGAAGATTATCAAATAATTTTTGGACATATTTTTAAAACAACACGAAGCATTCTTTGAAAAAGCCAGTGAATTCATAGAACCAGAGAGTAGAATGGTAGTTACCGGGAGCTGTGGGGCAGAGGGGGTGGATTAGAGAGATGTTGAAGGATACAAAATTTCAGTTAAAAGTTCAAGAGATGTGTTGTACAACATGGTGGCAGTAGTTAATAACAATGTTTTCAGCCAGGTGCAATGGCTCATGCCTATAATCCCAGCACTTTGGGAGGCCAAGGCAGGCAGATTGCTTGACAGCCCGGCTAATATGGTGAAACCCCATCTCTACTAAAAATACGAGAATTAGCTGGGCATGGTGGTGCGCATCTGTAATCCCAGCTACTTGGGAGACTGAAGCACAAGAATTGCTTGAACCTGGGGAACAGAGTTTGCAGTGAGCCGAGATGGTGCCACTGTACTCCAGCCTGGGTGAGAGAGCAGGACTTCATCTCAAAAAAAACAAAAAAACAAAAAACAGTGTTTTGTACATTTGAAAATTGCTAAGAGAGTAGATTTTAAGTGTTATTGTTGTAAATAAGTTTGTGAGGTAACGCATATGTTGATAGTTTGATGTAGTCATTCCACAATGCTTACATATTTCAAAATATGTTCTATACCATAATATAAACAATTTTTGTCAGTTAAAAATAAATAATGAAAAATAATACAAAAAGGCAAGCAAACAAACGGAATAGTGCAGTTAGCTGCTGAGCTGCTGTTGAACTTTAGTAGCAGGGAAAGTCTAATGTTGGCTACTGCCATTGTTATATTAATTGGCCTAATAAGTAAAGTGGGAACCAGGGACTTAAAATTGCATATCATTGCTGGGCGCAGTGGTTCACACCTGTAATCCCAACAGTTTGGGAGGCCGAGGTCAGGAGTTCAAGATCAGCTTTGTCAACATGGTAAAACCCCGTCTCTACTAAATCTACTAAATATACAAAAAATTAGACGGGTGTGGTGGCAGGTGCCTGTAATCCCAGCTGCTCAGGACGCTAAGGCAGGAGAATTGCCTGAACCCGGGAGGCAGAGGTTGCAGTGAGCCGAGATCACGTCATTGCACTCCACCCTGGGCGGCAGAGCGAGACTCTGTCTCAAAAAAGAAAAAAAAATTACGTATCATCCAGAACACAGAAGATCTAGGGGAACAATTTCTTCAGGTTTTTCTTTTGCTGAGGCATCACTCCAGTATCTCTTTGGGTAACAAAGACTCATTCGTATAAAGAACCGTGTACCTGTGCCATCGTAAGTATTCAGAGTGACAAATGCTAAGCATGTGTGTGTTTATATGTGTTTGTGTTATAATCATCTAAAACAACCTTAAAATAGAATTATTGTTTGAACTTTTATTTTGAAGGACCCATTAAATGATATCTTATTCAGAAACCCAATGTGTACAACATACAAAAATGGAACTACCCTTGTTAAAGGAAGGTGGGTCCAGAATTCCACTGGCTCGGCATCCCTTTTAACCCTTCCTTATGTTGGTGGAACATAGTTCCTTGTTGGTGGAACAAGGAACATAGTTTGAAAAACTATACCATGCCATCAGATCCCTTTCCAGCTTAATTCACAAAAATCTATTAATCTATAAGATAGAGTTCAGGAAGATAGCCATAATAGCAAAATGGCACACCGCCGTGTGGCAGGCTGATTTCTGATGCTGTCTCTTGTGTAATAGCCAATAAAAAACTATTTTGGTTTAGGGAAGTAGTTGGTAATTAGGCAGCCATGGATATCTGTAGAGTACTTTCATTAGTCTGTTGTCTTACCTAATTTTTTCTTCTCTAACAGAATACTACAACACATCTTTGCAGGATTCTTTGCAAATTCTGCCATTCCTGGATCTCCACACCCTTTTTCCTGGTAAGTAACTAATTGCTTTCTATCTTACTCTATTGGAGTGACATCATTTTAGGTGCTGTCATTTCTGTGCAGTAGAGAAAAAGAGCTGCATAGGCCAGGCGTGGTGGCTCACGCCCCTAATCGCATTCCAGCACTTTGGGAGGCCGAGGCTGGTGGATCACGAGGTCAGGAGATCGAGACCATCCTGGCTAACATGATGAAACCCCATCTCTACCAAAAATACCAAAAATTAGCCAGGCGTGGTGGCACACGCCTGTAGTCCCAGTTACTTGGAGGCTGAGGCAGGAGAATCACTTGAACCCGGGAGACGGAGGTTGCAGTGAGGCGAGATCGCGCCACTGTACTCCAGCCTGGGCAACAGAACGAGACTCCATCTCAAAAAACAAAACAAAAAAACTGCATAGGTGAGTATGTAGATGTAACTGGAGGCTGCTAGACTGCCATTATCTGCTAAGCCCAAACTTAATCAGAACTTTTATTTTTTTATTATTCAGGCTCAGGAAGGCTGTCCTGGTCCCCCAGAATGTTTGGTTGCTAGAAATGTCTTGATCCTTTTTATATTCAGGTCTGAGAGTTGTATTGAGGTAGGGAATGAGATGGTCCCTGCCAGGCTTGGTATCTGATTTGTGGGTTCCCCAGTAGACTACACAGGAATATTTTACTCCTTAAGAATTTCTGAAGTTGAAAACATTATGCTGAACTTTTATTTTTTTCAAAGCAAGAGGATTTGTCAGAAGAAACAATAGGCTGTATTCAGTATCAGAGTGACACTTACGTATGATAGGGATTAAAGATGGAATTTCTTCTTGTCAGAGAAATTATTTGCCGCTTCTGACTGCGGCCCAGAAGGTTTCTTTGCTCAAAGGAACCTCAGTCCTTTTAGGACCTCTGTCATCCACTAGTCTGTACCTCTGCTGGTAGTGTACCAGCAGCTCTGCGGAGGGGGGAAAAAAGGTGTTGCCAAGTCCCTTTTGTAATTGCTGTAAGTTGTGATTCAGAGAGACTGCTATGGCTGCTTCTCTACTTGAAAGCTCCTCATTGTCCAGAACTGTGGGCAGCCTCTTATAATGAGGGATGTTTGCTGTAGATTTTGACCAGTCATGAAGGGAAAACTCTCCTTAAAAAGCAGCTCCATCTGTGTTTAATATAAGTGGGCACAGAAAAGACAAATTTTTGAAACCAACAGGCAATGAGTCACTCTTTTTGTTCTGGCATGTCATGTGGTACTTTAGGTAGCTTCACATTTTATGTTCTAGTTAAGTAAAATTCCTAGAGAATGAGATACTATCTCTGGATAGTTTGTTTGATCTTGAAAGTATACAGAATTCTTTGCCTCTTGATCCTGGAGGACTAGTGATTTTCCAGCTCTGAGAGAGAACAGGATCCCTCTGCCACTTTTTTTCTGTGGTGTAAGGCAGAGCCTGGTCACTCCATCTAATGCTGTCTGTCTCATCTCATGTATAGGAGCGGGATGCTGCACTCCAACCCTGGGGACTATGCCTGGGGTCAGACAGGGCTTGATGCCATTGTAACCCAGGTGAGGAGCTGCCTTTTGAGGGTGTCTGTTCAGTGTGTCTCATGGTTCCATAGGCTTCCTGCTTTCCTTCTGCTACTTTCTGAAATGGCAGTCATTCTGCTTGCTCTAATATTTTGAGTTTTGGGGTTTCCATTTTACTAAAGGGATGAATGATTTATGGGGTTAGCTCAGCATCCATGCACTTCCTAGGTCCGAGGGAATTTCTAGAAGATGGTTTCATCTCCATAGGAAGAAAAGACTTCTATAAAAAATAGTATTTTGTATTTTTGGTCTTTCTTGTTCAGTCCTATAAGGATTCTGTTGACAAGTATTTCACAAAAAAAGGAGCATTTCCTCACATGTTGAAGCAGGGATTTCTGCTAGATGGAGCAAAGTAGGGGAAGGAAGCAGAGAAAAAGGTATTCCCATGCCATGTATAATTGCTTCCACTTGTTTATGTTCATTTTAATTTGATTGGTTTTTCATTTCCCTTGTGGATTTCTGAGACTAGAAAGCATGTCCTTTATATTCAGTCTTCTTATAGGCGGTAATTTACCTATTTCTTGGCTTACATTATGCTATTTTTCATACTCTCGCTTTTTTCTTATTCCAGCAGAATGAAGCTTTTGGACCAGTTACATATTAACTTTTTATTAAGCTGTAGTTTTATTCATGACATCACAACCCTTTTGCTGCCCCTGAAGTTGCTTTATGCCCAGAGGTGGGCCTTGCAATCATGGGTTTGTCTGTAGGCTTATGCAATGTCACTCTGAAATTGTAAAGCAATTATGAGTGTTCTGGCAGCAGGAAAGGGGAAACCCAAGCCTCTCAGAGCCTAGCAGAAGTAAGAGTAACTAACATACCTAATGTCTGTGCTGTTGGTTCTCAGCTGGAGCAGCTCCCTCTCCAGGTGTATTGAGATGTCTGCCACTTCATCTTTTTCTTTCTCTTTTTTTGTAGCTTTTAGGACAACTGGAAAACACAGGCCCTCCCCCAGCTGACAAGGAAAAGATCACATCTCTTCCAACAGTGACAGTAACTCAGGAACAAGTTGGTAGGTTCATTTTTATACTTACTCTGTCATCTTCTGATCTCTGTTCAAAATCCCAGTATCTTCTGACAAGTGAAAAGTTTAAAAAACGAACAAAATAAAAAGACAAAAAAGATAAATAAGAAAAAAAATCCCAATACCTTCCTATATTAAGGACCTTTAAGTGAAGCTATGGCCCTCTAAAATTCCTACCTGGGTGCCAAATCTGGAAAGTTCCTACCCCTTTATTAGGTTAGTCAGTAGGTATTTCCTAAGCAATTATGTCTCTTTTTTAGGTGCCATTGGGAATAAAGAGGTACAAAGATAGATAAGACTTGATTCTGATAAGTTGAAGAAAAACTCATCAAATGATTAAAAACTGTGTTGGACACATGATACTGACATTGGGGAAAGGAGAAGAGAAAAAAATAGGAGACTGGGAATTTGTTTCAGATCTACTTTGTGTCAGGTACAGTTAGGTATTTAGTCATAGATATTACTTTATTTGTAAGCACTGGAGGAATTTAGTGACAGGGGACAACATTCTGGACTGGGAGTTTCTGTTCCCATCAGTTTGGGTTTAGAGTTAGAGATTTCAAGGCAAGGGGGGCCATCTTAGGTCATTCTATTTAAGGAAAAGTATGAACTAATATATGTGGTGTGTGAGTCAGGTAAAGTGGTCTTTAGGGAAGATTAGTCTAGGGGCAGTGTGTAGCACATTGGAAGCGAGATAGCAGAAACAGGGATTTTAGAGTCTGTCGCAGCAGTCCAGGTGAGGTTCAGGTGATGGTGACGATACTAACAGAAAGGAAAGGGTAGATTCAGAAGATCATTTTGGAGAGAGGCTTTCCTCACTGATTGCGTAATGGGATGAAGGAGGGGAAAGTCAAAGATAATTCTGAGATTTCACAGCTTTGTAACTGTAAACGTGGTGCTGACATCTTAAGGGCTGGGGAAATAGTGAATGGGCCCTGGTTTGGGTAAGGAGATGAGGTGATGTTTTACATTTTTAATTCGTTGATTTTTGAGGTACCAGCTTAGAATCCAAGTGAAGAGGAGCTGGGGATTGCTATGGAGCTGGTTTGAGGGAAAATTAAGTTGTAGCAAAGTATAGGATATATCTGGAGAGTTAAGATCGTGGAATCTGGGATACTAGCTGGGAGGCTGTTGCAGCAGACTAGGCATGAGAAGTAAAATAATTAAGGCTAAGGTGGTAAGAATGGAGAGTAAGGAGTAAATCGGTTAAGTAGTAGTACTGCCCCAAATGCCTTATCTGCTGTTGGTTCATGGAGCATATCCCAGCCACTAGGCATGTAGACTAGCTGACAGTATTAGCCAAATTTGGGAAACTCAAAACTTGCTGCTTGGAATTCCCAATATAGTTGGTGACTGATGCTTCTCAGAGAAGAGGGTTTTCTGTCTCTTGATTTGGTGACCTGAGCTAGACTTCAACTTTGCAGTTCTGTAGCACCACTTCTGGTATAGCTTTTCTGGTATAGCTTCTGGTATTTTTTTTTCTTTTCTGGTATAGCTTTTATTAACAATTTTTTTTTTTTTTTTTGAGACAGAGTTGCTCTGTTGTCCAGGCTGGAGTGCGGTGGCGCGAATTGGCTCACTGCAACCTCCGCCTCCCGGGTTCAAGCAATTCTCTGCCTCAGCCTCCCAAGTAGCTGGGATTACAGGTGCCCACCATCACACCCAGCTAATCTTTGTATTTTTAGTAGAGACAGGGTTTTTACCATCTTGGCCAGGCTAGTCTTGAACTTCTGACCTCGTGATCCACCCGCCTTCGCCCTCATTAACAATTTTTACAGAGGACTTTAGGGCAGCCACACTGAAATAGAGTGCTTTATCCCATGCTGAAAAGAGCATGGTGAAAGTGGCAAGTGGCTTGAGACACTGAACTGCCAAGGTTGCTGAGATGAATCCCTTGGCTATGGTGGACAGATTGACAGTGGAAACTGACTGCCAGAGGGCTGTCACACATTTGGGAAGAAGTTTTTCCGTTTTACTGAACAGATCATCTAAGCCCCGGTTTATTTCTTCCAACTCTTTACATCAAAAAATAGGCCTTGTATAATTCCTACGTAGGCCTTTTTGGAGTAGGCCCCATTCGTCATTCCTCCTTTTCATGTCTCCGTCTACTACACTTTTGCCCTCGTTTTGAAATAAATTCATGCCTCTTAGCTGCCTGCTACTTGGGTGTACATTTTCTTTTGTCTCATGTCTTTATGCATTCATAGGGTTGGTAGAGACATTGGGTTAGTTTTTTCTTCCTTCCTTTTGCTTGTTTACTTTAAAAGGCATTACCTTCTTCAACAGATATGGGTTTAGAGTGTCCAGTATGCAAAGAAGATTACACAGTTGAAGAGGAAGTCCGGCAGTTACCTTGCAATCACTTCTTTCACAGCAGTTGTATTGTGCCATGGCTGGAACTGGTGAGTACAGCAAGTCATGGCTTCTTGGGGGGATGATTCAGAGTAAAGATATAGTTAACAGTTCCTCGAGATCCAAGTAGATCAGATTTTATCCCATAAATCCCTGGCTAACTCTGGTACTGTTATTTGTTTGGAACTTTTCTGACCAAGGGTTGCAAACTGTGTTCTACAGGTCATTGTTTCCTGCCACCTGTTACTGTAAATAACATTTTATTGGAACACAGCTATGTTCATTTGTTTATAGATTGTGGCAACTTTTGTGCTACATCAGCAGAGTTGATTAGTCGTAACAGCTGTAGTGTGGCCTGCAAAGCCTAAAATATTTATTTTCTGTCCCTTTATGTATTTATTTTGAGATAGAGTCTCACTCTGTCACTCAGACTGGAGTGCAGTGGCATGATCTCAACTCACTGAAACCTCCACCTCCTGGGTTCAAGTGATTCTTGTGCCTCAGTCTCTCAGAGTAGCTAGGATTACAGGCATGCACCACCATGCCCAGCCAATTTTTGTGTTTTTAGTAGAGACAGGGTTTCGCCATGTTGGCCAGGCTGATCTCAAACTCCTGACCTCAAGTGATCCTCCTGCCTTGGCCTCCCAAAGTATTGGGATCACAGGTGTGAGCCAGTGCACCCGGCCATTTTTCCTGTCCCTTTAAACAAAAAGTTTGCTGACCTCTGCTCTAGACCATATGGGAAGTAATGGGCAGTTACCCTCTTGTCATAGATTACTCACTGTTTCTGGTTAGTTCTGTTTGGTGGTATGTGTTAGCTGTTATTAACTTGCTGGCCTAGAATTGTGCCTGTCAGTTCTGCTTAAAGTTCTGTTTGGGAGATATCCTGGTATCACACCTTAGAGGCCAGTGCATGCTGTATGAGGATGCATTCCCTATTGTTTTTCTATTCCAAGTCGTAATTTTTGATGTGACAATTCTCAGGGTTATTTAAGTGTGCAGTACTCCCAGCTTCTCAGGCCAGGATCTTCACATAGACTAATATTTTTCTGTTTCAGCATGACACATGTCCTGTATGTAGGAAGAGCTTAAATGGTGAGGACTCTACTCGGCAAAGCCAGAGCTCTGAGGCCTCTGCAAGCAACAGATTTAGCAATGACAGTCAGTTACATGACCGATGGACTTTCTGAAGCTAAAGACCACACCTGAATCTGGGCTGTGGTAATCATCTTACCATAGCTGTAAATTGTATCAAAACAAAAAATTAGTAGATGGATTTAGGAATCATGTAAGAAACTCAACACATAATATTAATGCAATGAATGTTTTTCTTCTCTAAATTTAAAGTTAGTATCTACAGATGGAATTGTGTCTACAACCAAATGCCTCTTATCCCTGAATTCAGAGTGATAATTTTATAAGTGTGAAACTTAATTATGTAGGGCTCCTCCCACCTGAATAGAATTAATTCCTGAAAGTCTAGTTAGGGTCCTGCTATCTGTCATGTTGCCTTGTAACGGGTGTTTCCACCTCCTTCTCCAACCTCTACCCCACCATTAGTGTATTTTACTATAAAAACAGTGGAACCACAGCCCTAAAGTCCTGCTGATATAAAGTCCTTTTGTCTTAATTGTATTAAAAAAAAAAAAAAAAAACTACTCTTGCTCACATTAGCTATGAGGCGAGGTCAAATTCAGGAATCTAAGACTAATGATTTCGTTTTGTCTTGAACCCCAGAGAGCAAATCAAAGAAAAATTACAGCAAGAAGAGAAAAGTGGTTCATCATTGTGTGCTTTGGTTTTCTTAATTTTTGTTTGTTTGTTTTTTTGAAACAGAGTCTTGCTCTGTTGCCTAGGCTGGAATGCAGTGGCGCAATCTCAGCTCACTGCAACCTCTGCCTCCCGAGTTCAAGCGATTCTCCTGCCCCAGCCTCCCGAGTAGCTGGGACTACAGGCACTTGTCACCATGCTCAGCTAATTTTTTGTATTTTTAGTAGAGATGGGGTTTCACCATGTTAGCCAAGATGGTCTCAATCTCCTGACCTTGTGCTCTGCCCACCTCAGCCTCCCAAAGTGCTGGCATTACAGGCGTGAGCCACTGCGCCTGGCGTCTTACTTTAATTTTTAAAGACTACTTCAGTTGATGTAGTTTCCCCAGAAACCTACATAACATATATTGGGAGCCTTATGTTGGTAGGAATCTAATTCCCATTCCTTTTTGGGAATGAGTTGGGCAGCATACAGGCACAGAAAGACAGATGTTTGAGATCTTTGCCTCTGAGATTTTAAAAAATGATTCCTGCCAGGTGCGGTGGCTCACGCCTGTAATCTCAGCACTTTGGGAGGCCGAGGCAGGAGGATCACAAGGTCAAGAGATCAAGACCAGCCTGACCAACATGGAGAAACCCTGTCTCTACTAAAAATACAAAATTAGCTGGCCGTGGTGACGCATGCCTGTAGTCCCAGCTACTCGGGAGGCTGAGGCAGGCCAATCACTTGAACCCGGGAGGCGGAGGTTGCGGTGAGCTAGGATCACACCATCGCACTGCAGTTGGGGCAGCAAGAATGAAACTCCCATCTCAAAAAAAAAAAAAAAAAAAAAATTCCCAACTCACTGATTTTTTTTTTTTTTTCTGTCACCTAGGCTGGAGCACAGTGGCACAATCTCAGCTCACCACAGCCTCGACCTCCCAGGCTCTAGTGATCCTCCCACCTCAGCCTCCCAAGTAGCTGGGACTACAGGCATGTTGCCACCATGCCTGGGTACCATGCCTGGGTAATTTTTGTATTTTTGTAGAGATAGGGTTTTGCCTTGTTGCCCAGGCTGGTCTCAAACTCCTGGGCTCAAGTGATCTGCCTGCCTCAACCTCTCAAAGTGCTCAACTCATTGTTTACTGTCTTTTTTCCTAGTAATCTTAAAATAATTTGCCTCACAGAAATAGAGGCAGTGAGCGTCTGCAGCCAGTTCACTGTTTTTGGTAATTCATTGGTCTTCAGGAGTTAAGATTTTACATTGCCACATTTTAATTTTTAAGCCTATTTTTCATCTCTGAAACTTTCCTTTTCTGCTTGGTTCTCTGGCTATACTTGGACTCAAACTGATCAGTGTGATCATGTCCAAAACAGCTTGGCCTGGGAGAGGTAGGCCTTATTTTTTCAGCCTAGCAACGTCCCATGCACATGCTCTTTGTAGCATTCAAGTGTTTAACATTGAATACAGTAAGGTCAAGAATGTTATTGAAACTTCAAGGTCTCAAAAGGAAATGATGGGGACATAGAACAACTGTTGGTGTACCAAAAAAAAGGTACAGAGGTGCACCATTTGTATTGTCACATCAGCCTTGTATAGTTTAGAATGATCAGAACAAAAACACCACTCTTTAGTGGGTCTCTTTCTTGGCTAGGAGTCTTCCCTCAGTTTTTGTTGACTATCATACACTGATTTGTGGGTGACAGAAGGGGGCTAGAGATACTTTTTTCTGTACTTTGGTAGAGGATGAAGGAGTCAGAGAGGGAAAAGAAAAAGTGAGAGAGTGGCCTGCTGAAATAATAGCCTGCCTCTAAAAGTTGTGACCAGAAAGTATGATTCATTTGGGCCCAGAGGGAATAAAATATGTTTTTTCATATACCTCCTGTATTATACCTCTGTAGTGATTATTGTTTGGGGAATAAGACCTACTTACTGTGTGTAGCCCCTGAAATGTAGCTTGAGAATACACATTGGTTTTGAACTGGGGAGGAGGATGGAAGGAAATTAGAGGTGTATTATGAATATTTGGCCACTACTTAGATGGAGGAAGGCTGTGTTGAACTTGGGACATGTTGCAGTTTTCAAGTACACAATATCAGTTGTCTCAGAAAAATTATGACAGCCTGGACATATTTATCTGCTTGTCAGTGTCTGGAGATGCCAGGAAAGGCAGTTGTAGTTTTACTTACAGCTAGAGAACCAATGCCTAGAGAACTAGAGGATCTGAGTAGCTTTACAAAGGGTGGAAACAAAGTGCTGGATAGGGGTCTGCCTTTTTTACACAGTATAGCAAACAGCATCAGACTAAGTTATATGTAATTTTCTTCACTTTTTTTGCTCTGATGGATAGAGGACGTGAGACTCATTTTGCTGTTTCCCAGACTGTCCCACTTAATGAATCTGTTGTGTTTCTTCCTATAATGGGAGGCACCTCAGATGTCCACGTTAATTTGTGTTGAGGAGTTAGGGTTCTTCAGGAATTTATTCTTATTCTTATTTATTATTAATATTATTTTTTTTGAGATGGAAGTCTCACTCTCGCCTAGGCTAGAGCACAGTGGCACGATCTCAGCTTGCTGCAACCTCTGCCTCCTGGGTTCCAGTGATTCTTCTGCCTTCACCTCCCTGGCAGCTGGGATTACAGGCACCTGCCACCACGCCCAGCTAATTTTTTATGTTTAGTAGAGACAGGATTTTACCATGTTGGCCAGGCTGGTCTTGAACTCTAGATCTAGACCTCAGGTGATCTGTCTGCCATGGCCTCCCAAAGTGCTGGGATTACAGGCAGGAGCCACCATGCCCAGCCTGAGATGTATTATAAGGAATTGGTTCACACAATTATGGAGTTTGAGAAGTCCCAAGATCTGCAGTGGGCCAGCTAGAGATCCAGGAGAGCTGATAGTGTAGTTCCAGTCTGAAAGCCAGCTTTTGGAGACCCTAGAAGAGCTGATGTTTCCATTCCAGTTCAAAGGCAGGATAAGACTGAGATCTTAGTTCAAGCAGTCAGGCAGGAGGACTTCTCCCTTACTTGTTCCATTCAGACCTTCAACTGATTGGATGAGGGCCACTTACATTAGGGAGGGCCGTGTGCTGTATTCAGTCTGTTGATTTAAATGTTAGTCTCATCCAAAAACACCCTCACAGACACACCCAGAGTACTGTATGACCAAATATCTGGGCATCATGTGGCCTAGTCAAGTTGACACGTAAGATTAACCATCACAACAAGGAAAAACAGAAATGATGCATGTATACAGAGTGCTCCTCATCCTACTTAAGTTTCGCCAAGTTAATAATGTGTCTCTCTGAGAAGTGGTTCATCATGTTGGCTAGGCTGATCTCAAACTCCTGACCTCAGGTGACCTACCCACCTTGGCCTCCCAAAGTGCTGGGATTACAGGCCTGAGCCCAGCGCGCCCAGCTGACAGGTGCTTCTTAAATGTTTTCTTTAAGCGGGAATTGGTTCTCAAGTTAGAAGGAAAATTCGAGGGGAAGAGCTTGTTTTTTCTCCAACCAGTCTCTGATTAAATAGTTATTAGGAAAAACTCCTTGCTTATGTCTTTGTATTGCACATTTTTATGTATGTATATATGTGTAAATATAGATATTTATATACATGTATATGCATATTTCACAATGGAGAAAGAAGGGATATGGTGTGCACTGAGATAAAGTGAGCAGAGATAGAGAAGAGGGCTAGAACCTCACAGTCTAATTCTCTCTTTGTACATAACTGTTAGGGTCTTTGTTCCCCTGAGGTCTCTGGTATGCTGGCTTGGGCTGGTACCCTGTTACGCTCTGTGATGAAGGGATTCCCTGGAGGTAAAAACCTAATCATTTCCAAAGGTTGGGAATAAAAGACTTTGAGGAAAGGGTGTTCATCATCCATTGCTTCTATATTATAATCAGTTGAACTATAATACAGTTATCTATTGTTTTTTTTTAAAAAACTTTTCTGACAAATTATTGACACCAAATGGAATAATGCATGACCCGCATGCTTCAACTTCTTTCTCCCTGGTTCCCAGGTGCTATTCCCTCAAGAAATACAAATTAAATATATCCGTCTTAATAGATCAGGAGGGAAGCATAGTCTGAGTCTGTTTTAAATGACAACAAAACAGCTTTGGGACTTAGGAAGTGGAAGACAGATTTTTATTTTTTTGAGACACAATCTTACTCTTTCACCTAGGCTGGAGTGCAGTGGCATGATCTCAGCCCTCTGCAACCTCCCCACCCCTAGGTTCAAGCGATTCTCTTGCCTCAGCCTCCCAAGTAGCTGGGATTACAGGCACATGCCACCATGCCTGGCTAATTTTTGTATTTTTAGTAGAGACGGGGTTTTGCCATGTTGCCCAGGCTGGTCTCGAACTCCTGACTTCAAGTGATCACCCACCTTGGCGTCCCAAAGTGCTGGGATTACAGGCATGAGCCACCGCGCCCAGGTGAGGAGACAGATTTTACGAGAAGGAGCAGGGCTGGTATCTGAATAGATATTTGGATGTTAGGGGAAAACCCTTTTTGGCCTCTGTGGTAGAGAGATCGGAAGATAAAAGTGCTGTTTACAAGAATAATCCATCGGAGCTCTGGGGATTGGGGGCGACTTACAGAATAGAATACTCTTATTGAGAATTTCCCTAATGAATCTCGTTTATGTTCTGTCGCAGTAAGATGGAGGAAAACTTTGGTGGGATAGGCATCACAAGTGGCTGTCCTGTAGGGGGAAATCCTAGCCTGCAATAATGTCAATGTCTCAGTATTCAGCCGGGGAGCACTGCGCTGCTCCAGGGGTTTAAAATAGAATGCATAGAATACAATGTGTACAACCAGAGATGCTTTCCAGGATCAAAGTAGAGCCCTTGTCTGATCCAAATGACATTGTAAGGTTTTGATCTCTCTTACCTGCCACAGACAAGTGCATTATAGGCATTCAGCTTTAAGGTTTTATACCTGTAAACTTTATGTTTTCCTGCCAAACTACACTTGGTGTCCACAGAAGTGTAGTTTGAATGTTGCCCCTTCCTC